TCTTTACAGCTATAGAAAACAAGTTGAGCAAAATGAAATTGCCTCGTATGACCTTCAAAAGCAGTTTCACCATTTTCTGAGCTTGTTTATTGTATATTATTTATGTAGGAAAAGATGGGGGGGAGGGGAAAGGCAGACAAATCATTCAAAACACCCTGTTGTAAAACAGGTAAGATTTTTCTCTTTAAACTTATGATACATCCCTAGCCATGTTCTACACAATAACTAAATGCCTGTTTAATTGTGTTTTAAAATTTTAAGAATTTAATTCTATACCTAGTTTTAAAATTTGTTAACTTTATTTTTCCTATACTTCTTTTGATCTCATGGAACATGAGTGTTAGCATTCATCACTGTGATGTTGTGTCTGTGTTTTTGTGATAGTTTGGAATATGACAATTTAAAAATCATTTAAGACCCATCTAAATGTAACAGTTTGGCAATGATGTTTCTCCAAGAGATGCAGTGAGGGCAAGAAGAAAAAAAAGCAGTCTTTAAAAAACCAAAGAGACTTCTATATACCTTCCGTGTTTCGGATGCTCAGACTGTCATGATCATAGGTATGTGAACAAGGAGCCCTCTCCATGAAGATTTCTGCAAAGAGTTTTTGTTAGCTGGGTGATTTTGTATTAGAAGTTCTGTAATGAACATATTGATAGTTGTAGTATTATCTGGTAGATTTTGTGGACAAATGGCTCTGTGGACTTGAGTCAGCCATTGCTTACAGATCTCTGCAGTATATTCTCCTTTTAACTTTAAAAACCAAGTCAAGATGCAGAAGAAAAGAGGATTCTGGGTTTGGCAGCCCAGTGAAATCATGTATGATCACAGGTCACAATGCAGTTCCTTACATTGAAACAGTTAGATCAGTCTCTGTTACCTATTCCTTAGCCTACTGAAGAGTTTTTGATACCTTTATTAATCTGATGTTAAAAAACCACATCTGTTCATTTCCAATCTAAAGGCACAGATATTTCTGCATTAGGTTTTAAATGTGTATCATCTTTTAAACGAAATTAATCTTTAAGCATCTAGAACACTGGTTTGCTCTCTAGTGGTACATTTTTCTCATCTCAGCTGTTTTCAAAGTGTGCCTGTATGTAGAAATACAAAGAAGGAAACAAAAAAACTCCAAATCTCTTTCAGTACTTAATTGACATTAATTCTTAATCTATTCTACCATGGTATGAAGAGCTGCTAGCCAGCTATCTAGATGAAAGATATCAGGGAAGCTTCATAGCAGTATACCAAATACCATTGTCATCTTCTTCCAGCCAATGTAAGTGTGAAAGGAAAATGATAATAATCAACTAGATTGTAAAAAATAAAATGAAATAGCAGTATTATCTTATTTCTTATTTAACCAATTTAAATTAATCTTTCAGTTTCTGTATTCTTAGCAAGGTTTTCCTTAACTTCCAATTATTTTGTTAATTTAGTTGTAAACCGAATGCTATATTTATAAAATAAAAAGATATTGAAAAAAAAACAACAACCAACTCTTATTTTGTTAATTTTGATTAGAAGATATTTTCTTCTCCGATGAGAAGCTTGATAAAGAAAGATAAAATGTGCATGTGTCTGAGCAAAAGCACAACTAGAAATAATTAAGTTTGTGGTTTTATGACTTTGTATTTAGTATTGCTACAGAATGCTTATGCTGTTAATACTTTGCTTGAAAAGTAGGTTAAAAGTCATGTGTTTGAAATGATTATCTACTTAGTCTACTGACTCCTAATAATGTGCCTGCGTGCCTGTCAGAACGTTTAGCTGTGGAAGAAATGCGACTAGTCACATTACGTTTTTCCGTAAATCTTTTATGAAGTAAGAGAGTGGTTTTATGGTGTAAGTGATTTATCAATTCAATACTGTGCTATTGTGCCCTTAAAGTTTTAAATTGGATCTAATTATGAATTAATTCAAGGCTTGATCTGAAGTTGAGTGGTTTTTATGAAAATAACCTATTTTAGAAACATGTTCCTTGTCTATGCACCCTGAGTTTTCATTATCTTAGTATCATGTGAATCTAGAGAAGCTTCCCTATTCCCTTGTCTTTAGAATTGTGGAATATGTTTTAATTTCATTTTTCCTAATGTCGGCATGGTCCACAATTTTTCAAATACCCAGAATCTGTTGCCTTTATGCCTGGAGTTCATAATTGCTCTTTAGAACAGTTGATGGAATAAACTTTTGTTGATGATATGTTTAGTGGTCTGTAACCGCGAGACTATAATTCAAAAATTCCTCTTGCATTTTTGGAGGCAGGAGGAGGGAACAGCAATTAATATAGAAGCTCTCCCTATCAACATTGTAATGGATGGAAATCGATGAACATGTGTGGGCCATGTGACTGTTGAGATATTTTTCTCTATTCATTCGTGAATCGAAATTTTAACATAGAAATGAGAGGCAAAGTAGACTAAGTATGTACATTTGTCTATGTATAGGTTGCCATTTAGGTAAGAATTAATGTAGAAAGCCAGGTATATGATCATATATGTGTATATATTCCTGTGCCAATTATTTTTACTTTGGTGTGAAAATATACGTATCTCTTAATTAAAATAGCTTGGTTAATGCAGACCTTAGTACTGTGTTTTCAAACCGTTATACTTGAATGCTGAATCATTTTTTTGCTAGGAGGCTGTCTTCAGATCAGGAGGTTCCTGAGCTGCAGAGTGATGGAGACAGGGAGCATGCACTGGAGAAACAACCACATTAAGCTTGCCCTCGTTCAGAGGGGCCCTTAGTACCAAGATAGAGTACTAAGCTGTAGGGAACCTTTTGTCTGACTCAGTATAGCAATGCTTATACTTTTTGTTTTTTAGTATCTTGCTTAGACAAGGGATGCTATAGCATATGCGAACACCACCTAACTTTTTTGGCCTGAAGAATCACAGTGACAGTTTCACGGGAACCCCAGAATCTCATTTAGTTTGTATATAAAAAAACATCAAAGTATTTTATAGCGTTTGTCTCTCTTCTTGTATAGATATAAAACATTATATGCCCTTTTTTGTCTATGTAGTTATGAGAATAGAGCATCAAGGTGCCTGAGCACACAGATGTGCCTATGTATCTTATTCTTTAGGAGCTGTGTGTGAGAAGTGCTTTAGCACAGGTTGACACAGAACTTGAGTGTGGTTGAGCAGCTTCCAAGAGACAAACACCTGTGTTCAGCACACAAGCCTGAAAGGCCATCTCTGATTTTATGGATGGAAGAGCAGTGGGCAAAGGCTCTAATGTAGAAACCTTCACCTGTGGGTCAGGTTAGGAAGTAGCTCTTTATTACCTTATAGTTGTCAGTGCAGCTTCTAGCTGATAGCCTGCTACTGGACCTTTTCAGTGACCTTTTCAGTTTGGTCCTAGAACTGAGGAGAGCGTTTATATAATAAAACACAGGTCTTGGTTTGAAGGCCAAAATGATAAGTGGTTCACAGATGATGATGATGATTGCTACTTGATAGCTACTGTCTTCTGCTGCCACCATTTGACTCTGACCAAGGCACACAGGACTGTGTGGACAGGACTGGACAGAATAAGACTTGTTATTATGTGTTTTGTTTAAGTAGAAAGTCACTTGGGTTAGTTAAAGCAGCAAGTGCTTTTGAAGGAACGTGTTTAGTTTCCTACTAGAGGAACAGTTATGCTGTAGGGTGGTGGTGTCCAAACTTTTTTGATTGTGCACCCCTATCAATAAATTTCCCATATGAAGCTTATAGTGACTAAATATTTTTCATAATTAAAAGCATTTATTAAGCCAGCTTTTTAAGTATCATTGTTTTAGCTGCTTTTATTTCGATACATGCGTTTGCTTAAAGAGACCATACATTCTGAATTGAGGTTGTGAAATAAAGCTCATGAACTTGCAGCATTCCTGACATTTAAGATAATTTCTATCAAGTTTCTTCTATTTAATAGAAAAGTAATGTTGGATTTATTTTTTTTTAAATAAACTGAAATGACGACTAGTAACAGGACAGAAATAGAAAGCAGATATTTCATGTTGTTAGAGGGAAAGGGAAGTAATTTTTCTTTTATTCCTAATTAAGATAATACAATGATTGTTTCTTAGAAGAATGCTCAGTCAGAGGAACAAATAAAATACTCAGAAATTTGATAAGTGGTATGGGAGTGGAGAGAATTACATGCAAAAATTGGAAAGCGCAGAATTTCTGTCATTTGGAAGCTTAATCAGTTAATTAATTTGTTAAAGAATGTGTGGAATTTTAGCAATGAAAGTATTTAGTGACATCTTTAGTTTTGGCCATGAATAATAAAATATTTGTGATTGAATAGTAAGCGCTGGCAAGGAGATTATAGCAACTTGCACAATATTGTGAACAACCGCAAGTTTATTTGCATTATACCTTTCTCATTTTTTTTTTTACCCAGAAACTTAGTGATTCATACGTTTGAGGAATTTTTTGAGAAATCTGAACTACTTTTCTTGTGAAGAAATTCCCTTAGATTCCTAATACACTGGGTCAGACTGGAGATGACTTTATAGATAATTTTAGCAGTAACATCAGTGGAAATTCTGTAAGAAATTGAACTGTATGAATATGATTAGGACAATCAAATTCTTCTGTGAAATATGGTATTCCTATATTTGGAGTATGGTTGATTGTAAATCAGCTAACACTTCGATGTGAAAGGATCCCATTCTATAATCTACTTCACTATCTAAAATATGAAACAGGGAGTGTTTAATGTGAAATATTGTCCTGCTAAACTGCTGTCTCAGAGACCTTTATTTTAGATACGTTGATGCACAACTTCCCACATGAGTTTTAACAAGTTGAACTACATCTAGAAGCTTTTAGGGAATGCAGACAACCATTGGAATGTTCTCCTGTTAGTTGACTTTGTTAGCAGTTTCAAGTAATGCATTCATTTTCTTTTCTAAAGTTCTGAAAAATATTAACTTTTGTAAGAATGCTAACTTTTTAGTTTGAGGTTTCTTTCTGCTTATTAATTGAAGTGTTTCTGTTTTCAAGGGAACAAAAGAAATTGAAGGTGAAGAGGAGTCTGGTTTAATTCCGCCTGCAGAAGTGTTTGCTCCTAAGAGTCTGGTGTTGGTGTCCAGACTAGATTATCCAGAAATTTTCAGGGTAAAGAACTTGCAATTGCCATTTATAATATATGTCAGCAGACGAATCTGTTTTTAATGAGTAGCAGTGACAGTACGCTTGATTTAAAACATCTCACAATTGATTTGGGAATTTAAAAGCAAAAGCAGGCTTAGATTGAACTAGATAAAATTCAATGTCTATGACAGTAAATAGCCCCTAGGCTATAGGTTGAAGCAGTGTTTTTTTACACTCCAAGCAGTTTTCAATCTATGTAGAAGATGAAATAGAGATTTTTCTGGGCTCAATTCCCTCAAATGAAGGGAATTATTACGACAAAAGCAGACTTGCTCAGGTAAAACCAACACATTAACAGTATTTGAATAAATATATAATGCTAAATTAATAGTGAAATCCTGGTTTTCCTCCATAGGTAAGGCAAAATGTCAGAGCCTCTTCCAGATCAAATTAAGATGCATGACGGAGATTTAGGATCTTGGATAGCTTTCAGATGAGGAAATATGGCTGATCTGAGATAAATGAAAAACTTTAATTATTCTTAAGCTAATACATATTGAGAGAAACAAATATAGTTCAGTTTACAGATCAAGCGAGGCGATCATTCAACAGTTAAGTTGTCATTAGACATTAAGAATGACTGTACTGAGTGAGATTCAAAGTCCACATAGCACAGTATATTCGCTAGTGGCCTGTAGCGAATGCAAAGCAAAGTATGTAAGAATAGGGCAGGCTGTGGAAAGAATTCCACAAAATACTTTCCTAATTCAGTGTGAATTATAGTTAAATGACATCCTGAACCAGAGGTGTCAGTTGTGTGGGTTTTTTCATATAATTTGTCCAGTTTCTTAACGCTTAGAATTTACAACCCATGGCAAGGAGTTTCACAGCTTAACTATGTGTTATATGAAAAGTTACTGTTGGAATTATTTCTAAGAGAATTCCTAAAATATTTGCTGAGTTATCAAAATTAGAGCAGTTAAAAGGCACCAAAATGATGCTGTGGAGCAAAGTTATTTACTTCTTTTTTTCCAAATGCTTCTTAGAATGTGATGTTAAATCATCTTACGTTAAATTATTAGTAAAAACAATAAAGCTATATGATTTCTCAATCAAAATTGAATCCATACAAAAAAGAAAAGGGAAATTCTGAAGTATTAATATAGTGTTAATTTCAAAATCTATTTATACTGAAATAATAAAATAAAGAATCTAAGTTAAATAACATATGGAATTGTTGATTCTTGATACTAGTCTTAAAGCTAGCCTCAAAAGCTCATTGATTCATCAGTATTCTGCTCTGGAAACCAGTCAGGTGTAAATCTGTAGAATTCAAAGCACAAATAAAGCTATGTTGATTTCATAGTTTTTAAAACTAACGTGTAGTTAAGTACTTTTTGTATAGTGAACAAAGCAGAAATATTAAACATTTCTTTTTGAAAAAAAAGTGTATCTACACGTGCCAGCACATACATCCCTTCTAAATAGCCAAATTAGTTTTTTTAAATGAATGATTGCATCTGTAGCAAATTGCTTTGTCTTTGGTAGGAAAGTACTACATTAATAACTATTAAGACACACTGATTTTCAAAAAGGTACATACATAGGTCTTTAAGTAATTTGACATCTGTCTGCCTTCCCTGTATAGCAGTCTAATCTATTTTGTCTACCTTTCTAGGCTTGCCTTGGCCTGATCTATACTGTGTATGTGGACAGCCTGAACGTGTCATTGGAGACTCTCATTGCAAATCTGTGTTCATGCCTTGTCCCTGCTTCTGGAGGGTCGCAGGTAAATGGAGAAAAAGGGTATTTTTCCAGTTAATTTAATTTGTGAAGAAAACAAAAAATAAATTCTTGAAATATTTTTGAAGAAAAAAAGATCATAGTTCAGCTGAGTGCTTTCCCTGTGGCCTGTGAGTGCTTTCCCTGTGGCCTATCTTCTAAAGACAGCAAAAATTCCATTCCAGGATGAGGTCAAAGGGTTAATTTTGTCACTGAGTTGGCTTTTTACAAGGCACAGTAACAAATCAAGCAGTTTGTATAAGCTTAGTTTTTAATAATAATGTGCGTTCAGGAATATTTCTGCTTGCTACAGATTTTTTTTTTAAAGGCTTTTTTTCTTCACCATATTTTAAATGTCCTTCACTTTAGTTCATTTATCTGTATCTCTTCCTTGATGCAGTTCAGGATTCCACTGGTCTTGTCTTTGGTAACTCTTTTAAGTTTCTGTTTTCATAAAATTTACAAAAAATGCCAAAAAAGTAACTTGGACATGGTTTTCTCAGAGGTAATTAAATATTCCAGGTAGCCTATGCATTCAAAAATAAGAAAAAAAAATTTCCAGCCAATAAACTTCTTTCTGCTTTTTACCTGTGCCTTCTGTGAGCAGGTGGTCAGGTTTGTTTGTTGATTTATTTTAAATAAATTGTTCCTATACATGCATGGATTTCTGACAAGCCAGTTGGGTCTTGTTTGCTTGGCCTTCACTATTAGGAAATTGTAGTCCTTATCATGAAGCATACCTGGAAACTCAGTAAGCAAATGTTTTAAAGTTGATTTCATACACATTTGCTCACACTATCCAACCAACCTATGGATTATCAGCCTTCTTGAAATCCTGCAAATTTCTGATTCTTTTCTCTTTTTCCTATAGCCCTGGCTGCTTTGGAATTTCTCTTAGTGCTATAAGTGGCAAAATGTCCTCTCAGCTTAGTCAAGATCTACCCTATTGCTCTCCAGGAAACCATGTCTCTGTTTTTGCATCCCAAGCATTTTGGTTTTGAAGGGGAGTAATTGGCTCATATCTCCTTATCAGAAAGCCTCTTTTCCAGTTGTGTTTGAACACCAATATTACAGGTTTTGGTGATCCACTTGAACTTCTGGCTTGTCTTCTGTCCTCTCTGCTCCCCGCCCCCTGCATAAATACAGCTTTCTCCAGTGGCTGTTTCGTCTGCTAGAAGAGGGCGGAAAAGTCATGCTCCTCTGGCTATTCTCCCTTCCACTTTCTCTCTTCAAATGAAATGTTCTTTCAGTTGAAAGTTAAATTTGCTAGTGTCAAACTACCATTTTAATCAGAAATTAAGGTGGTTTTTTTTTTGTTTTCTTTCTTAAGCTTCATGCTTCTAGGGCTAAATCTGAATTACGTATCTTAGAATGGGAACACACTTCTGATGTTTACTCACAGAAGTCCTTGAGGAGCCTCCCAGGTTATTCATGTATCCACTGTTGAAATAATCAACTATTAGTTATTGACCTGCATCTATGTGTGCTGCTAAAGTGCTGGGGAAGAGCATCTTTGCTCAGGGACTTGCTTGGTTTTACGGTAGAGCAGTTTGGTTTCAAACATCTGCTGTGTAGCAACCAGAGCTTGCTACCTTCATACATTCAGCATCTTTGCTGCTATGCAGAGTGGAGTTGTACCACACTTACTGCTTGTACAGAAATGCCTCCCACACCGTGGTAGTTAATGGTTAGAGGTAACTGCTTGAAATCACCTGCTGCTTGAATGTCATGTGGGTTTACTTCAAGAGGAAAGCAAGGTTATTCTGCAGTTACAATCCTTTTTGGGATGTGACACACAAGTGCATTCCTTTCACTCCCGTTTCCTGCCTCCCTCAAGGGAGATATGTTCTTGTGCTGGAAAGGTAACTGAAGATTTAATTCTACTTTAAAATGCAGAGCAGGAACATAGGAGTAATGGAGGTGTCTCTTCAATATCCATATGTTACAAGTATGTTCATACTTAAAACATGCATGCGGACAGTAGATATCAAAGAGCTTCAGTTAGAAAACAACATATATTTTTTTGATTTGAATAGGTTTTAAACCATTGCTTTTTTTTTTTTCTGGAAGGTTTTTTAATGTATTACTAAAAACGTAATATCAAATTCTTTCAAAGCCATAACTATTTAACTAATTCAATGGAAATGCAAAAGGCACTATCATATTATACGTTCCAGGAGACGCATCATTGTCCTCAAATTATATTTCAGATTTCTATCGGTCAGTTCAATTATTCTTACTGACTTCTGCTGTATACAAAATACATAATTTTTGCAGGATGAATCACTTATGTGTATGACAACAGCTCATTTATTCTATATAAATGAAATTTATACTCAAAGAAAAAATTCTTTCTACAGAAATTGTTTTCTTTGGGAGCTGGAGACCGACAACTGATACAGACTCCTCTACATGATAGCCTTCCTGTTACAGGCACCAGTGTGGCTCTTCTCTTTCAGCAACTGGGTATGTCTAGGTCTGCTTTGAAAAAAAAACTTTTTAAAATACACAATGAGGTATTTTCTGTTCTCATTCAGCTCAAATCGCGTGCCAAGAAAGCTGCACGATAAGTATTAATTTCTTTTGAATGAGAGAATGGCTAGTAGTTCTTTTATCCCCTAATCAGACATTCATACAAACTTTTTGTTCACCCAGCCTGCAGTAAGTTATCTCTGATATTATCTAGTATCTGTATGTGTACTGTGAGCAGAAGTGAGCCTGGTCTCTGTTTAATTACAACAACATTTGTGTAAAAAGTTTGCTTACCTCTTGGATACTGTAAAACTCCAAACAAAACCAAGGAGGTGAATAACAAAACTACTGTAACTGAGAAGGTTAGTAGAAAAGATACCACATACTGATATCAGTAACTATGTGAAATTCATATTATTCTGTTGTTGCCTGTTTTTCGCTGTCTTTCAAGAAGATAATCTAGCACAATGCTCACATTTAGGTGGTGGACTGTCGTGTTCTTCTTAAGGCCAAGATTTGTTAATGATAAATTTCTGTTTGGATTTACTAAAATAGAGTCTGTTTGCAATGGCTGTTAAATGTAAAAAAAGGATCTGGAAATGTGAAAAGCCTATTTTAAATACATTCTCGTTTATTCTCACTTTTTATGTAGTCTTACGAAGCGTTAAAGGCAATGAGTCTGGAAGGATGTGGTAGAATGTATTAGCTCATCCCTTTGAAAAAGATACTTTTCCTAAGATAAGAGCTAAGCCTCTCCTCTGGAGATCACAGTTGAGCTTGTCAGAACGTTTTTGTGATTGTTGTAATGATATTCACGCTTGCTTTATTCCTCTCGTTCTGTTTGAACAGGAGCTTAAGGCACATTTGTCTCTACCAACCTGGGCAAAAGCATTCTAGTTCTGTTGTCCAGTGTGGTGTTGGAAAGTTACTTCAATGACAGCTGTTATCCTGTCAAATGCTTGTGTTTAGGACACAAATATTGACTAGGCTGTTTGTCAAGTAACAACATGTTCAGTTACTTATCTTCTGGTACAAGTCATTTAATCATATTTAAATTATTAATAGAAAATTGAGGAGTAGCTAGAAAAATATTTGTGAACTGTATAAATCACCTTTTTAAAAATGTTTTCTTTGAGGAAGATGGGCAGCAAGAGAAAATTTACCACTATGAATAGATAGAAAAGTAATTTCAACATTTATTTTGAGAAATATTTTGCAATAATAGTCTCATGCTTTTTCTGCTTGGCAGGATAATAATTACTGTGTCAGTAGATGACCCTCCCTGTATTACCAAGTTTGCAGCATATCTGGAAATAGACCTCATTTTCACTTACACATTAAACTCCAGTTGGGAAAAACATCCCCAAAGGTTTTAAGCTTAATAATAAGAACAGAACTGTTAGACATTTTAAATCATACATTCTTTTTTTCATTTTTAAAAAATTAATATATGTGAATAATTTGACAAAAGCCAGGCCTATAGCTGGATCACTACACCTAATAATGATTTCATCAACAAGGATTAGCTGGAAAAACAGTAATCGTAAAGTTACTTTTAAAATGGTCTGTGGTAACTAAAAGACTTTCAATACTCTTCTATTTCTCATTGTTAGTAAGTTGGTAGGTATCTATAAAAGCTTCAAAACACAGTAACCTTCTTCAGGTTCAAAGGAGATTTTGATTATATTTATCTCCTCTCTCACTTTGTTAACAATGCATTCCTACTTTTCTGCCTTCAGTTCTTTTCATTTCTCCAAACTCCCACCCTACTTGTCTTCTCCCTTCTGCTGGCAGTATGGTTGGTTATTCAGCACTGCCATATTCAGTCATTTGCACCCAAGACATAGACCTCCATCTCCCCAAAAGGCAGTTTTTTCCAAAGAACCCAAGATACAAAATATATTAGGGACCTAAGCAACAAAACAAGAACCTAAGGTTTAACTTGCATGTTTCAAGGACTGGTACATGAATCACACTGCTAAGCTGAGCAGAACAATTATGAAAATTTATTTTCCTGAAGAATTAATGTTTCCCTCTGCTTTCCAAACACTTAATCAAAGACAAAAGAGTTTTCCTTCCTTTCCTTCTTGTTTAGTCTCTTATCTGAACTGTTTTCTTGTCCCCTTATTTCCTCTGTTCCATTTCATTTGTCTGTGCTGGTTTTCCTCCTCATATCTCCAATTCACCACTGAAGTATTTTCAATAGAACTCAGACTAACTTTCAGTGTTACAAAGAAAGTGATTTTTAGAGTGACAAAAATGAAACTTTGAAGTAAATTCTACTTTGAATCTTCTGTACTAAGACAAAAGGTAAGGGTGCTTTTGAATTCAGGGCCATGTAGAATAGAGATTAACTAGACGGAACAGGATGAAGATGAATGGCAATGCTATGTTGAGCATTGACAAACTTGTCTTTAATTTGCAAAACCTATGACATAATTTATATGAAAGTGTTAAACATCATATTCTTTATTATCCTTCAGCCTTTTTATATATCTTAAAATACTTTGAATCTAGAAATTGTGCATATACCATTAGACAGTATATGAAGCCTCTAAAACAAGTATTTTAAATATAATATAGTTGAAAACTGCAGTGTCATTAAATATTGGTAATTCCACGTGTCAGAAGTGACTTGATTAAGCTTGTAAAGATTTTTACAGTTGCACAAAATATAAATACTATAGTAGATAGTCCAACACAAGAAGGACTTGGAGCTACTGGAACAAGTCCAGAGGAGGCCCACAAAGATGATCCGAGGGCTGGAGCACCTCTGCTATGAAGACAGGCTGAGAGAGTTGGGGCTGTTCAGCCTGGAGAAGAGAAGGCTCCGGGGTGATCTTCTAGCAGCTTTCCAGTACCTAAAGAGGCCTACAGGAAAGCTGGAGAGGGACTTTTTACATGGGCGTGTAGTGATAGGACAAGGGGCAATGGATTTAAACTGAAAGAGGGCAGATTTAGGTTAGATATAAGAAAGAAATTCTTTACATTGAGGGTGGTGAGGTACTGGAACAGGTTGCCCAGAGAAGTTGTGGATGCCCCATCCCTGGAAGTGTTCAAGGCCAGGTTGGATGAGGCTTTGGGCAACCTGGTGTAGTGGAGGATTTCCCTGCCCATGGCAGGAGGGTTGGAACTAGATGATCTTTGAGGTCCCTTCCAACCCTAACCATTCTATGATTCTAGATGTACGTGATGATGACAGAGTTGATAAGCAGGGAGGTACTTCAGTAGACGCAGTTTAAAGTGCTCCACTCCGGTATTAATAGTACTAGTAACATCTTTTTTTAATGTGACTATTAAATTCCAAAATTCAACACTGTTACTTGAGACTGAGAAGTTTGGAGTATTATCTGTCATTTCTCCCTACTTGCATGTTTCCACCTTTCTTTTGCACCAGAGCAGATACTTCTCTGATACCACAGAGAGCTGCTTAAAAATAAATAAATAAATATGTAAATAACACTAAGCAAGCAAGTAGAAGTGAATAATTTTCCATGTGTTTCCATGGTGAGACACTGACAGTGATAATAGATTTAAACAGTCATGAAGCTGAAACCCGTTACTGTTACACAGTGAAAAATCTGTTTGTAACAAAATGATGGGATCATATATTAACTATCATACTGATTTATCATTTTTTTTGGATGGACTATCAACATGTACAGAAGTAAAAGAAATGCTAGATTTTCTCATTTTTCAGTTATATGATTTGTTAAAAATTCATTAAGAATGATTTTTTTTAAAATATTTTTTAAAATTAAGTATACTAAGATTTTTTTTTTTATGTGTTCAAAAATTTGTTTTAAGGGAAGATCTTACTTGATTGCAACAGCGTTATGTTAATTATTTTTTGATGAAAGTATGCGGCTCCATCTCTATTTGGAAGTAGATATTTGTATGTGCAGAGACATTTTAAACTGTCAGACTTGCACTTTACAATTTTGGTTAGCTCATTAAAAACCTCATTTTTTCTTATGGTTCTGTAGTTGTGCCAATAGCACTTAGCATACATTTTGCTCTCAGAAAACTTAAAATCTCTGCTCAGGCTGATGGTTCAGCAAAAAATGGTTCTTATATGAGTATTTCCTTTGAAAGCTGATGTCAGGGCCCTGAGTGCATCAGCAGCCCCCTGAACTCCTGCGGGATTGAGCTGCTCGTGCTCAAGGTCAGTGTTGATGCAGCACAGCTGTGCAACCTTGGTTGAGACTGTTTAGGAGAGAGCTGTGTGAAAGATGTGAGGAGGAGGAAGGACCTATTGACCTCTACACTTGGATGATGCACTTAAACTCCGGCCGTGCCCTTGGTCCTTGCCTGAGCCATGTTGAAGCAATGCTTGTGCCTGACAACATAGGTCTCTGACCTAGATCCTCATCCATGGACTGGGCATCCTGGCTTGATCTCAGGCCTTCTTCTTGACCTTGGACCTGCCTGGTGATCACTGTGACTGACTTGGCTGCCATTGCTGGTCCTGATCCTGACCCTGCCATGCTGACTTGGCTTCCTGGCTTGATCTCAGACCTTCTTCCTCATTATGGACTTGTCTGGCTATCTTGACTTCTGGCTAAGCCTAGCTGCTGTCAGCAGACCTATCCAGCTCATCTTTCTGTGGGTACTGTGGGACTCTGACACTTGTTGGTGAGGACACTTGCCCCTTCCTGCCTTGTTTTCATATTTGGCACCTGCCTTGCCTTCTAGAAGTTACCAAGCAGTGTGTCATTGCTGGTCCCTGGCAGCTGGTGGTTCTTCAGTTTTCACTGTTTACCTTCTAAAAGTCTTGAGAAGGTTGGTATTTTGATATTAGTTCTTCACAACAAGTTTTGATCCCTTTGATACTAAAAATCAAGCTTTGCACATCCTACAGGAGATGTAGTTATGCACCCCTACCTGCCTGGTATAGTTTGATTCTGAGGAAGAGGTCTTTCTTGATCTTAAAATATGCGCACTGGTCAGACTTTCAACATTCTCCAATAAAGCTGACTGCATCTGTTAACAAC